TCCGAGATATGACCGTTTTCATCCATTCTCACTGAAAATATTGAACACTACCATTTTCAGCCTCTAGATGACACTCGAGTAGTATGGCATGCCGTTGTGTCATGTAATAGGTAAAAGTGGCTATTAATGACACAGTCAGCTTGCCATAGCCTGCCACCGTCGTCAACGGTCTAATCAGCTTCATTTCTCTGCACCGCCCCGGTGAAATGGAGCAGATTTGACCGTTAAAGTGCATTTATTAAGTAAAACTTCAACTGAGACACGACTTTACTATAAAGTCGAGCAAACAAATTGTTTTTAGGCGTTAATGTTGTTCAGTTCTTGTTAAAGTCCTCCTGTGCACGCTCCCGCGGCCGCCATTTGGCAGCCAATCGATTTTTGGCACAACACCGGCCCACGTCTCCCGGTGGTCAGTGGTGACGCGTAATAGATGCGTGTTACACGGCGAAGCGACATATTTATGTTTTTTCCCACTTTATTAGATGTATTTTGGACTTGTAGGGCGGAAAATACGGTAATGGCTGTGCCCCCGAGCTAAAAAGATGGTAACTGTTGGACAAGTTGTGGTTTTCAGCGTTTCTCGTGTTGATCATGTAACCGGACAGAAAACACGTGGACACTACCGTCCAAGTCCGTACCGTGGGTTAAAAAAAGGACGCGTCGCCTCAAATGATTATTTTATCTCGGCATGAATTTAAATAAAATGCACGTCGTGCACCAGATGCTGTCGGTTCACGTTAAGAGGCGGCGGGAGACGATTTCCCATAAAATCTGTTAAATTTTAAATCCTCGGAGGCCTCCGAAGCACTCCAACACACGGTGCTCTTATTCACGAAGCACATTTCCTGTTTACAAGATGAACGGGCTGCAGCTTCACCGTCCCACCAAACCACCGCGCAGACGAGTGGTTCAAAATAAGTGTTGCTACGCACGTCTATTGTTGCTGCTGTCGGTTAATAACCAGGAACAGCTGATTGTTGTGTGGTTGGATGATGCTAACGAGCTAACGGTCCAAGTGGAGGACGGACTCTGGGAGACCGTGTCTGTAAATGTACAATCTGATAGCAGGCGTGGGATAACGTCCTCGTTGTTTCAGCTGCTGCAGCGAGCCCCTGAGCGTCGGTGCAAATCAGGAGCAGCTCCTGTTTCGTCTTGGCCGTCGATCACACGCGCGTGCACGTGCACGCACGCGACGGAGGAACCCGAACCTCTCGTGTGCCCTTTGGGCGACTTAATCTGGTGAAAGTGGGCGTTCCGCGACAGCTGGGCGTCCAAACCCCGTCCAGCTCGACGGCGGAGCGGTCCGGACCACCTGAAGGAAAAGGAGCCGGAGGAGGAAACGCTGAGCCGACACATTCCAGGGGAGGTCCTGAACCAACACCGCTCTCTGTTTGTCCAGTCTCTTCAGAGACGACATGGATATCGTTTCAAAAAATAATCCCCTCCTCTTCAAACATTACCCCGAGCGCTCCGAGCCGTCACTTCATCCTCTAAACATTTATATGCATTTATTCACTTATCTGTTATATTAATTCTAGATTTGTGACCTTGTGAGCAGGTAAAAGGAGAAAACGGTTAATCCTGGCACCAAAAGGCGAAGGTGGGCAAGCAGCTGGACATGCATGCAGGCTGCAGCAGCTCATACCTGTGAGGGTTGAAGCAAAGCGTGAAACAGAAGCTGGTGTTGTGCACGAGAAGGGTTTTAGAAATAATAATCATTTTAGATTCTTTAGAAAAAACCTCAGCGCTGGACCACCAGATCTTCCTGATCTGGAGGGTCTTCACAAAACTTGGTTTAAAATTGTTTTTAACGTCCGAACAATGTGAAAACAATTATTATTATTTTTTTTAAATGACATTAAATAAACATTTTCTCAATTGTTTTAAAAAATGTAAATGTGCAGTATTTAAAAAACTAAAAGCCCTTAAGAGTTGACAATAAAAACAATAATTTAAATTTCATGTTTTTATTTCAGGTTAAGACGGCTCTAAAGACCTGGTTCATTGTGAACAACAATATATAAAATATTACTTTTCAGCAGTTCAATAAATTGGTGGACTTTCCCCCGAGAAACACGAACTGTCCTCAAGTTAAAGGATAAAAAATGCTCTTAGTGTAAAACTGTGACGATGAAAAGTGGCGGGCGATATGCATTCCGTCAGGAACCTCTCTGTTTTTAAAGACGTACGATCAGTCCCGTTCTATTTTTAGCACGAAACATCCGTTGGAGACGTTTCTCTCCTGTTTGCATCATTTTCACACCCAGCTCTGAAAATAATCTGCATCTGAACTCCTCGAGACGCCCGCAGGATGAGGATGAGGAGGGTGATGAGGATTAGGATGATGCTTCCCCTAGATGATGATATGATGACGATGGTGATGAAGGTGATGATGATGAGGATTAGGATGATGTGATGTTGATTAGGATGATGATGAGGATGATGACGATGGTGATGAAGGTGATGATGATGAGGATTAGGATGATGAGGATGGTGATGATTAGGATGATGATGCGGTGTTTCCTTTAGATGATGATGATGACGATGTGATGAAGGTGATGATGATGAGGATTAGGATGATGTGATGTCATGGTGATGATTAGGATGATGAGGATGATGGTGATTATTAGGATGATGGTGATGAGGATTAGGATGATGTGATGTGGTGGTGATGATTAGGATGATGATGAGGATGATGACGATGGTGATGAAGGTGA